TCACCTCTGCCATCTCCACCACCAGATCGTCCACCACCACACGGGCTGTGCGGCTGGGGATGCAGAGGGTAAGAAGGGGCAAGGTTATGTGAGAAGCGTTCACGAGAGCAGGGCAGAGAAATTTAGCTTACAGTCACCAGCTGTGCCGCCACGACATTGCCCAACTCCACAAGCGCCATGCGCCTGGGGGTGTGGGGAGGACGAAGGGAGCACGGAGGAGTGGGAGCAGGGCAGCAGGAAGGAGCAGGGCAGCAGGAAGGAGCAGGGCAGCAGGAAGGAGCAGGGCAGCAGGAAGGAGCAGGGCAGCAGGAAGGAGCAGGGCAGCAGGAAGGAGCCGGGCAGCAGGAAGGAGCCGGGCAGCAGGAAGGAGCAGGGCGGGGAAGTGGTACATCTCCATGTGGGCAGGGCAGAAGGGGGAGCATGTGGGGGACAGGAGCGACCTGTGCCTCCTCATGAACCACCCCAATGGGAACATGCTTCCTCGTCACTCATGCCTGCCCACCACCCATGCCTGCCCACCACCCATGCCTGAAAAACGCAGAAAAACACGGAAAACGCTCTGAATACACGGATCTGCAGGGAAAAAGCTAGATCTGCACGGATCTGGCTGCGGAATGCTAGATCTGCGCTCTTCTGGCTACTAGCGTTCAGCTGCTTGTGAGATTGTGTCACATTGGCCAAGGAAAAAGTGGCTGCATTCGACATTTGAGTTCAGGCTGCCCACCACCTCATCCCTACCCACCACCTCATCCCTACCCACCACCTCATCCCTACCCACCACCTCATCCCTACCCACCACCTCATCCCTACCCACCACGCCACCCCGCTACCCTCATCTCACCATCCTCTCAGCTGTCGCAGCTCTCCTCGTCTGCTGCCCACCGCACTAGACCCACAGCACCCATGTCTGAACCACAGCACCCATGTCTGAACCACAGCACCCATGTCTGAACCACAGCACCCATGTCTGAACCACAGCACCCATGTCTGAATCACAGCACCCATGTCTGAACCACAGCACCCATGTCTGAATCACAGCACCCATGTCTGAACCACAGCACCCATGTCTGAACCACAGCACCCATGTCTGAATCACAGCACCCATGTCTGAACCACAGCACCCATGTCTGAACCACAGCACCCATGTCTGAACCACAGCACCCATGTCTGAACCACAGCACCCATGTGTGAACCAAAGCATCCTCCTTTTCATGAGATGTGCCTTGCTAGTTGAGCCTCAGGGGCTGTGGAGACAAGACAATTGACTAACGCGGTGCAAGGGCCGATAGAAATGATGCTACGGCCTGTCAAGACTGCACTGCACTACACTACCAGCAGTGTCACCTGTCAGCGCCGCGCTGCAGCAGCTGGCAGCGCATGGAGCTACAGCCAATCAAAACGGTGCTATCGTGTCACCTGTCATTCCCGCCGTCGTGCCAGGTGAATCGGAGGTGGGCCAGCAGCTGGCAGTAGAGCGCCCACCTGCCATCCTCCACTGCCCCCCGCACCGCCTCCCCTCTCACCCACCACCCCCTCCCCACCCACTCCCCCACAGCAACCCCTTCTGCCTCGCTACCCCCTCCTCCTCTCAACCCCTCCCGCTCCCCACCACTTCCCCCCACTTCATCACCAGAGGCATGAAGCCGCCCCCCATCGCTCGCACCTGCTGCCAGCTCGCCCACTTGTCGCTGTCCTCTGCTCTGCCCCGCTGCTGCGCCCACTAGTTGCTGCTGCCACTGGCTCGCTGACGTCAGCACTGCCCGCCCAATCACGTCCGTGAAGTACGTGGACCACTCCTGTCACGACAGCTGGTGCGCCTTGCTGTCGATCGCACCGGCCTGCGGAAGGGAGGGAGGGCAGCGATGAGAGTGACAGTGATGGAGGGAGGGCAGTGACAGTGATGCAAAGGGGGTGACGGTCACAGCGATGACAAGGGGGCAGTGAAAGGAAGAATGGAGGCTGTGCAGTGCAGTTCAGTGCCAGTGCAGTGCAGTGCAGTGCAGTGCAGTGCAGTGCAGTGAGGAAACGGGGTACGCTTGCAGTTCAACCATCCCAATCACTGAAACATGGCACGGGAGGAGAGGGTGAAAGAAACGATCTATTTCCTCAACACTATCATGCATAGGGCCTCCATCACCTGACCTGCTCGTCAACTGCCTGCATATACCGGCCCGTACCGGACAGCACCCCTACCTCAGCAACCAGGGCCTGCGTCCACCAGGCGCCATCGCGCCTCCGCCGTCAGCCCCTGCAGCAGCAGCACTGCCGCCAACGGCACCACCATCTCCTCGCTGCCGCCTTCCCCCGTGCCTCCCCCAATGTCGCCCCCCGTGCCTCCCCCAATGTCGCCCCCCGTGCCTCCCCGGCCTCTGCTACCTGCCAGCCTGCTCCTCCTGCTGCGCCATGCTCTGCTCGCCTCACTCTGCTGCCGTCTCCTTCCCTCCGGGTTGGGAATCCCCTCGCCCTGCCCTTATCCTCACCTACTCGCCCTGCCCCTCCCACGCTAGCCGATCTCCCGCCCTCGCCTGCTTCCCACCCGTCTCACCGGCTCCTACCCCGCCCCGTCTGCCCTGATCCCCCCTTACTTTCCCCCCTTCAAGGGAAGTTCCCCAATACTGTGCCCTCCCCCTCCACTTCGGCTAGTAATAGCTCTGCTGCGGTCCCACGCCCATCCCTTTCCCACCATCCGCTCAATCTCACCCGCACCACCCCACTCCGCTGCCCATCTGCCCGCGCCCCGCCGAAGCTGCGCCCTCCTCAATCGCCGCTCTTCCGGCCGTCGCCGCAACGGGAGTTTGCTACGCGCGCTCAGCTCCCAACGCCGCTGTTCGTAGTTGGCGAAGCGTCGCCACGCCTCGTTGGACTGGCATTCGTTTCGAAACGAATGCCTCCAGACTTGCGGAACGTAACTTTCCCCCTACGCACAGCGATCGCGTCGCACAGAGAATTGCCTGTCGCACAACCATCGACTGTGAACGGTAAACCCTCCCACTCCGAGAAGCCGCCTGTCCGCTCTCCCCCGCCGCAACCCGCTTCGCCTCCGCCTGCTTGTCGTCTGCGCTCGGGCAAAGCCGCCGGTGCTCGCGGAATCAGGGCGCGCGGAGGGACAGCGGCGAGCGCAATTAGCGGAAAGCAGATACGCGCCATGGGGGAAGCGAGGGTCCGACATGCGGGAGGGTGTTGGTGGGCGGAGACGGAGCCGAGTCGCGTGCGACACATGTAGACGCGGGAATGCGATACAATGCGACGAGGAGGACGGGAAAAAGCGCGGCGAATGTGACAGCCGTTCCCGTGCTTCGACACAAGGATTTGAGGTGTGACAAATTTCAATGTTGAGTGGTAGGCGCCGGCAACCATGGACAGAGAGAGATCTTGAAGCTGCCAAGTGTTAGAGCTGTACCTCAGAGAGCATATTCAAAAGGCTGTCGCTAGCGTTTTCCACCTATTATATTCCTGATTTCCTACCGTAGTATATTATGCACTTTTATTCAAGAGCGCGTTACGGTTCGCCGTGAACTCCGCGCACCAACAACTTGTAGAAGCGAACCATTGGCGACGCTGGCGGAGTGTGAGTGAATTCTTGATGACGAAGTAAGAGCGTGTCTCACTTCGAATGGTCCGCCAGTTCGCCCTCACCTGGTCCGCCCTTGAAATTGATTCGCTGGACTAGTCCGCCGGACCCTGGCGGACCAGCCTGGCGAACCAGCTCGGACGATGTGCTGGTTGGGTCCGCAGATGCGATCTACAGTGGAAGATAGGCGAGAGCTACTGTATTATGGCCCAAAACTGGGTTACCGTGACGCGCGTCGGCTACCAGGAAACTGATATTGAGAGGTGCCAGTCACTGGCCAGTCCACCAGCGCGCGCTGCCAAGCTTTGCGATTCTCGCAATGTGAGCTCGCAGGTGTTCGCCAAAAACATCACTACTCAGGGGTCCGATGTGGACTGGTTCGCTGAGCCAGACAAGTCTCCCCAGTATAGTCCCATTCGCCTATAAAACGGGGGAGCTACCCTGGAACACCTCTGGTCCGCTGCGGTGTACCATGTGGGTCCGCGCTCTGGTACCCTGGTTTGGTGGACTGGCCCACGTCGACCGCATAGAACCAGGTTGGACCGAGGGATTTGAGGCAACCTCTCATGTCCCAAAATGCCAGGGGTTAGTCCCGCTATCTAAACCACTAATAGACTCGCTGAGCACTAGCTATTCGCTAACAAACCGCACTGGACGTTGGCGCAGATCGATAACAACAAGAGGTGCGTGAACATTGTCGTCGAACGCAATCACATTGCCGCATGAAGCCTTAGGGATCGACTAGTGACGACAATAACCTAATAGAATCGGAACGACCACGTACGGCCTTAGCAAGATCCTATACGATGGCGCGTCGCGCCCAGGTTCTTTAGGGTTATGTCGCCCATAGCTCCTCGATTGCTAAGGCGCATTTCTCTCTCGGCACGAGTGTGAAACATTCGTGACGGTGAGGATTCGCCACGGCTCATTCGCATTTAGGCAATCGCCAAGGCACACTCTCGCCGTCGCATGCGCCGCGGCTCCCTCGCGCAGTCGCATTCGCCACGGTACACTCGCGCAAGCACATTCTCCGCTGCACACTCGCGCTGTCACATTCGCCACGCCACCCAGGCCCCGTTTCGTTCGCCCAAGCGGCAATCGCACCGTTGTAATCGCGTTTGCCAGTTTCGCATCTAGACATTCAGCCCGCCGCACGCTCACCGTCGCCTATCAGCACTGGAATGGTTATGGCATTCCCATAACCGTGGATTCGCTCGCGCATGCGCATAGAGACAGACACATCATTCGGATTCTCCCCAAATCGGTGCAAATGCCAATTTGCAATAGGCGTGCCGCAATCTCCCCTTCGCGAGTTTCCCGCCGCCTTCGCCCCCACACGTTCTTCCCGCCGCATTCGCCCCCACACGTTCTACCCGCCGCATTCGCAATGCGGCGTCCCCCCAGCCGCACGTTTCCAACCACGTTCGACCTACTTCATCCCCTCTCCCTCCACATACGCCCCACTGCTCACAGCAGGTAACGGGGATTGCAAAAAGGGTTCAAGAGGGGAGCCTTGCACCACTGTGGGCATAGGGTGGTAAACACTAAGGTGAGCTCCGTCAACCTGACCCATCTCTCCGTCACCCTGACCCATCTCTCCGTCACCCTGACCCATCTCTCCGTCACCCTGACCCATCTCTCCGTCACCCTGACCCATCTCTCCGTCACCCTGACCCATCTCTCCGTCACCCTGACCCATCTCTCCGTCACCCTGACCCATCTCTCCGTCACCCTGACCCATCTCTCCGTCACCCTGACCCATCTCTCCGTCACCCTGACCCATCTCTCCGTCACCCTGACCCATCTCTCCGTCACCCTGACCCATCTCTCCGTCACCCTGACCCATCTCTCCGTCACCCTGACCCATCTCTCTCCTTGTGTATCTCCTTACCACATGAAGGAGGCTTGCTTGTACCAATCACTCGCCAATACCCATGTCATTCTCCCTTCCCCCTTGCTAGTGCGGGCATCCACCCTCCCCCCCGCTAACCTTAGTTGTTCTCCATTCCCCCTGCTACCCCTACGATACTCTCCCTTCACCCTGCTACCCCCTGTCATTCTCCCTCCCCACTGCTACCCTTGTCATGCACCCTTCCCCATGCTACCCCTATCATTCTCCCTTCCCCCCTGCTACCCTTGTCATTCTTCCTGGCCCCTTGCTACCCTCGACAGTCCTCCCTCCCCCCTGCTACCCCCTATCATTCTCCCTTCCCCCTTGCTTCCCCTGCCATCCACCCTTCCCCTTGCTACTCTTGTCATTCTCCATTTCCCCCGCTATCCCTGTCATTCTCCCTTCCCCCTTGCTACCCCTATCATTCTACCTTTCCTCTGCTACCCTTCTACGTTGCTAAATACGAGTACCGAGTATAATACGTTAGCGTATTATACGCTTGGTATATACGCGGTACGCCAAGGCTGGCGTACTGCTGATACGCAAAAATACGCTGGCGGGCAGCTAAAACTTTTTTCCCGGGCAGGTATAAAAAAAACCTGTTTGCAGGGGGGGGGTTCAGGCCGACAACAACACATGTCAATATTTTATTTCATAAATATCCAGAAATACATAGTTCATCCACATAATCCCCACCCTCTAGCGAGCTTCCCCACAGCCTATTTCCTTGCGGGGCTTTTCCACCACCACCCCTTCCCCATACTCATCTGCCAGCACTGCATCATCTCCTTCCCCCCCCAGCAGGTCATCCTCCTCCTCCTCGTCCATGTTGTAGCCGCGGGGGATAGGGGCATCCGGGATGTTCCCGGGCACAACGGTGCTGGCCCCATCCTTGTTGTACCGATTGCGCACAACGTTCCAGTTGTGCGCAATGTAAACCAGGTCCGCACACTTGGCGGACCCGAGGCGGTTGCGGCGGGCGGTGTGGACGCCTTCCCACCGCACCCAGCCACGTTCGCATGAAGAAGCCGAGACGGGCTGAGTGAGAATCCGGCATGCGAGGGTGGCAAGCTCAGGGTACTCGGTGCTGTGCCACAACCACCACTGCACCATGCTCATCTCCCCTTTCTTCACTGCCTCCCTTGCAGCTATGGCGCTCGGCTTGCCAAAACTGCCCTCCAAGTTGATGTAGGCCAGCAGTGCCTCCTGCAGCACAAGGGAGGCGCGGCGAGGGGCACCATCCTTGCCGCGCCTGAAGGTGACGTGGTCATAGTGGCGCTCGATGTAGTCCTTGAACACCCTCGTGCACTCCACATCGTTCCTGAAAATTCCCTCCTCCTGGTTGGCCGGATTCAGGATCCGGCCAACCACATGCATGGGGCAGGCAAGGGAGTTGTCCCACCTGTCCTTCACAATCTTGGTGATATCTGCCCTCTCTGTCCGAGTCAAGAAGTCGCCTGAAGCGTCGAGCTTGTCATTGATGTCCTCGGTAAGCTGTAGCATAATGTCATACAGCTTTCCCATCATGCCTTTCGCGGAAGAGTCTGTGGCCCGCATGGCCTTGAATGGCACCGCCATGAGAGAGGAAAAGAACTCCGCCACCCCCCACCACTTCTCATCCATCACAGCAGCCCTGAATTTCTCGGCTGCAGTCTTCCTATCCTTGTCCCCCGCTGCCCACACCTTCCACTCGTCGCTGAGCACCATCGCCGCCAGCCCACTCCTCACCTCACATAGCCGGGCCATGGCTATGTATTGTGTCCCGAACCTGGTTCCCGTAGGCTTGAGCACCTGCTTCCCCCCCAATTTCTTCATATAGGCACGGGTGAAGTGGTGGTTGCGCACGAAAGTAATCATCTCCCCTCCTTTCTCCACAAGCCCCTTCGCCCATCCCATTTTGCCCACATCTTCCATTAACAGGTCCAGGACATGCGTGGCACATGGCACATGCTCAATGTGCGGCCATGTGCCCGCAATCCTCCGCGCTGCCGATGCATAGTTGCTGCCGCCATCGGTCGGTCATCATGTCCGACGACACGGTGACACCGTCCCGCTTCCAGCTCGCGGCAACGGGGGCGAGCGCTGCCTCCATTTTCTGCCGCACTTTCTTCAAGCCCGCCCCTCCAACGTAGCCCTCTTGGGGGGAACATACCCCGGTCCCGCGCGCGCAAAGCACTGGACCGCGTAGCGGAAGACCGGATCATCCACGATGCGCTCTGGAAGCTTCAGCGCCGAGATCATTAGGCAAAGCGCGTTATCCGCGTCCTCCTTGGCGCACGTTGCCTCGTCGCCGAAGAATTCTGTTATCTTCCCCTTCTTCTCCGCACAAGCAGTGACCGCGCCCAGCACGGAGAATTGAGGAGGAGAGAAACGAATGAAGGATAGGAAGGCGTCAATGAGTAAATGCTCACATGACGTGCTGGACATTTGAGAGGGGTGGTTGGATATGAGAGGTTTCGTGGGGTGGTGCGTGGTTGGGGTGGTGGGAGGTTTGGATTCTGAAATTTGAATTTCAGACGTGGGTTGGGCGATGTGCTTGGTCGCGTAACCAGTCGCGAAGCCCTAAGAACCGTCGCAATTTTTTTTCAATTTCGAATTTTTTTTTTTCCGCCGGGCTGCCCGCGCGATTTTTCACGAATTCGAAGCGTATTAGCGTACCAAGTACGTACGCAATCGTATATACGTGGTACGCCACCCTACCCAGAGCGTATTTGGCAACGTAGCTACCCTTGTCACTCTCCCTTCCCCTTTGCTTCCCCTGTCGTTCTCCCTTCCCCCTTGCTACCCCTATCATTTTCCTTTCTCCCTCGTTACCCATGTCATTCTCCCTCCCTCCTGCTACCCTTGTCCAAATCCTGTTAGAAGAAGTGAATGGTAGAAGAATTCAAAGGAAGTCAGATCCACATGGCAGTGAAGTAGTGGCTGGCCACTCACTGCAGACGAGATGCGGCCCTACGTCCTTGTCGCAGGAAGCTGGCTGAACGAATCATTCCACTCTCTAGCCATGAGCACCAGGCGAACACCCAACGTGTTCGCCTGAACAGTCACGAACACATTAAAAGGGCGAACCGAACATGTTCGGTTCGCCCGAACACTTTTTTGTAAAAACAGGTGTTCGGTGTTCGCCCACCCCAGGCGAACATGTCACATGTTCGGGCGAACTCGAACATGTTTGGGTTCGGCCACTGACTCTAGACTGCAGGCTTGAAAAATCTGCGTGTATAAGGCGTTGATCTGGAGGATAAGCAAGGTACGCGGACAATACTGAATGGTGCAGCGGTGCTAAATAACTAAATGTAATAGTGCAAACCCGAAATGGGGTCCACTAAACTAAACCAGGGCTGAAACTTAAGAAGCCACCTACTTAACCGTGACATTATTAACCGTGAAGGCGTGTTCGGACGAACCTCGAATACGTTTGTCACGAACACTTTTATGCTAAAAAAAAACCTGTTCGGTTCGCCTCGATCGTGTTCGAGGCGAACTGAACACGAGTTCTTTTTTTGCTCAACTCTAGTGGCGCTTAAGCGGCGGAAGTAGGTATTGTATTGGAGGCGGATAGGCTAGGATAACCCCAAAAAAGTAGATCAAGCTCTGAAATGACCCAATCTACTTTTTCCGTGGGTTTCATACCCAATGTCGCGCTGGAAATTTCACGAAGACATGATGTTCGTGAAATTGGGACAAATGCCCGAACATGTTCGATGTTCGGCCATTTGTCCCATGCGCGTCGCGAACGCCTGAACATGTTCGGGCCGAACCAGAACATGTTCGGGCGAACATTAAAAAAAAAATAAAAAAAAAAATGTTCGGTTCGCCCCCGCCTGGGTTTGTATTGGTCGAAATATATACATCACCCCGCCTGACCATCTCTCGCAAACAAACGAAGGGGGGTATGGTTAAAGCGATGTACCTTGTACAGAGAAAAAAAACCCTCCAAAAAATAACACTGAGTCACCAGAGGATCTAAAAACAAAACCCTGGCAATTAGAGAATATCTACCTTCCAAAAAAATTACTCAGAAACGCCAAAGTCCGATTTTCAGAGAAACAGAGTCATTTACTCAAATAAAATAACCCTATTCTCAGGGTATTTTGTGTCATGTCATGTTCATGATTCAACGCACGTGTAGGCAGTGTCCGTGTTTTACGTTCACGAGGTGTGCGAGGCCAAAAATTACGTGAAATTGTGGTTACATAGTGAAAATTTGGTAACTGTAGATGCTAGTGTGGTGTAACATACGCACTTGACACGTCCTTAGAACAAGAACGAATGCAAGCAGGGCGTGCCAGTGTTTGAATGCTTCGAAGCGGTGTGTCGCAATCCAAATCGATGAAGGAAACATAGTTGGGGTGGGTATGTACAACGTCGGCTCGTCCTTTGGACGCGTCACCTCCCTCGATCGATCCTGCGGAGGATCGATCTTTTATTCGGTTTAAAAGGTTTTTAAACAGTTTTAAATGCAACACTCGGGGTTTTAGTGCGGTGGACGATCGATCTTCCTCAGTTTTGCACGAACGATCGAGGGAGGTGACGCGTCCTAATGGAACCCACTCCATTCCAATGAAAGGCTCTCCACTGGTCTTGGTGTCTCCCAGCATAGGTACCCCTGCGACATCTGCTCGCACGCCACTGCGCGGCCAATGCAGCGAGTATCGGAAGTCGAACAACTCACGGACGACGAGCGCCGAGCCCTTCGCGCCAGCCGATTTTCCGTGGCGCGACTTCCCAGTCCACCGCGCTCCTCGCACTCCGCAGCTGCAGCGACCGCACGGTGAGTCGCCGCTCTTACTCCACATCGGCCCCATCGTCCACCGCCTGCGATTTAATCCGTCGCTCAATTTTCTGTCGTCTGCTCCGCTACGGGCCGCGGGTCAAAATGAGGGTGTCAAGGTGGCGCAGCGGATGCACCTCCCCCATTTTCCCTCCGCCCCTACATAACCCATCCCCCTCCTTTCCCCTCCTCCCCCCCCACCCCACATCCACCATGGCAGGCAGGCACATCCCGGGGGCCCACTGGCGACGAACAAGGCGGCGGCCCTCTCGCGGTTCCTGCAGCGGCGGCTGGCGGCGAGCGCCGAGGGGGGCGAGGGAGGCGAGAGGGGGGCGCTGGACCCGCGGCTGGTGGAGGTGGCGGTGAGGAACGCGCAGGCGACGCTCGTGGCAGGTGAGGGCCGTGTGGGCGACACTCGTGGCAGGTGAGGGGCGCGCGGGCGACGCTCGTGGCAGGTGAGGGGCGCGTGGGCGTGGAGCGCGCTGAATGTGCGGGCGATCCACAGTGGTCCGAGGAGAAATGCGTGGGGGTTCTGGGCTCGCCGTGCTATGACCGACCGTGGATACGGTTGGGGAGGGCGGGAGGGGGGAAGGAGGGCGTGCGAGCAGGGGGCAATCGGCGTGCATGCACCGGGTGCGATGGTGGGATGATGAAATTCGAAAGTGAAGGAGGGAGAAGGAAAGAAGAGGGATAAGTGGGTAGATGGACAGTGGAAGAAAGCAAGGCAGGAGAGTGAGAAGGGCGGAGTTGTGTGAAGGAGCCAGAGGGATGGGTGTGAGCAATGAGAGTGTCCGGTCGTTGCTGCTTCAAAATTTGTCACGGAAAGCATCATGGTGTGTGCATATGTGTGGGGGGCCATGCGTGTGTGTGTGTTGCCATGCGTGTGTGTGTGTTGCCATGCGTGTGTGTGTGTGTTGCCATGCGTGTGTGTGTGTTGCCATGCGTGTGTGTGTGGTGCCATGCGTGTGTGTGTGTTGCCATGCGTGTGTGTGTGTTGCCATGCGTGTGTGTGTGGGGCCATGCGTGTGTGTGGGGGGCCATGTGTGTGTGTGTGTTGCCATGCGTGTGTGTGTGTTGCCATGCGTGTGTGTGTGTTGCCATGCGTGTGTGTGTGGGGCCATGCGTGTGTGTGGGGGGCCATGTGTGTGTGTGGGGGGGCATGCGTGTGTGTGGGGGGCCATGTGTGTGTATGTGTTGCCATGCGTGCGAGTGGCGTGCGTGGCAGCGGCATCCTCAGGTGGTGGTGTGGTGCGGCATGTGGACTCTTTCAATGATGGCAACCAGGGGGGTGGTGCCGAGGACAGCACTGGCAGCCTCAGTGGCTTTGATGAGCCGGTGAGAGCACCCAGGCGCCCGCACTCATGCCAGTGCTTGTGCTACGTCAGCGCATCAGCATGCAACGTGCAGCACGCGTGCCCCATTAGCATCTTGCAACTTGTAGGGGTTGAAGCTTTTCAACTTCCTGCTCCGACCCGTGCACCCCTTGCCACTGGTTCACCCCTCTCATTGTCGCATTTACCACCCATGCAGTCCGAGGAGCAGCCCAAGGTGAAGCAGAGGAAGCGCAAGGGGAATGGAGGGGGCATCACAAGCAAGAACAATAAAAGGAAAGGGAATTTCCAAGAGAAACGGAAGGTCAAGAAAAATAAGTGCCTGTCAAAGAAGGGGTACTAAAAGTATAGAAACTGCCCATTTTGGTTCCTCGAAAAGCATTTTTGGCAACATACATTGCCATGTATTGGGTCGTGTGATTATCAACACATCACCTTTCTAACCCACCCTACTCAATCTAATCGGGAGGAGGCAGAACGCCCAAATGTTGCACCCAACCAAGCGCCGCTGCCACTGCTCATGCAACTGCTCATGCTGCTGCTGCTGCTGCTGCTGCTGCTGTGGCTGCTGCGGCCAAAACTGCCACCGTGTGCATTGCTTGCTGCTCCACGCTATTGCAGCTTGCCCGCTTGCAGCATGCTCTCTTAGAACTTAGGTATGTGTGCATTGGGTCAAAGGGGGGTACAAGAAGGATGTCGAGGGAAATTGTGTACCCCCTAGTGCTACCCCACTACAGCCTAGATCAATCTAACATAGATGTAGCATTTGACACACCCCCATAGGCAAAGTGGGGGAGAACAAGGGGTCACAAGACCAGTCAAGAGAAACAAAGCAAGCTCAGGGTGGATCACGTCACCACACACTCCGAGCAAAAGCAGAGGGCCACAAGGCCAGTTCACATGCAGAGGTATATATGCAACAAAAACAACACAGATATCACTACCTAGCAAAAGTAAGCATGCAGGTACATATATATATATGGATCACAGTACAAGCAAAGCCTACAGCAAGTGTGGAAACGTAGGCACAAGGCCTAACAAGGTACAAAAGCGCTGATGATCACCAGACGGAAGTGCCTTGGTGAATATATCAGCAGTGTTGGCCTGAGTGGCCACGTGTGCAAGTCGAAGCTGACCACGCTGCTGCAACTCTCGAGCCAGGAAGTAACGCAGAGCGATGTGCTTCGTTCTGTGCTCCAGTCTGTGCTCCTCACACAAGGCAATGGCAGCCTTGTTGTCGACGTACAGAACTGGAGGAGAACGAGGCCACTCTCCCAAGTCGGTCAGCAGGTAGGTGAGCCAGCGCAACTCCTGAGCAGCCATGGCTGTGGCGTAAATCTCAGCCTCACAACTGGAGCTGAGAACAGAAGACGAGCGAGTAGAACGCCAAGAACCGAACCAGAGCCAAGGCTGAAAGTGTAACCCTGTGACGACCGCTGCGTAGCCTGGTCGTCAACCCAAGAAGCGTCTGAGTGCCCAGTGAGGACCACCTCTCGCCGTCCTCCAAGCACGAGCCCCATGCCCGATGTACTGCACAAGTAGCGCAGTACCCTCTTCGCAGCATCCCAGTGCACCTTTCGGTGCCGACCAGGAGCCACGTAGCGAGCCAGAAGACCAAGAGGGTACGCAAGGTCAGGACGAGTGCAAGTCATCAGGTACATGAGGCAGCCCACTAGCTCTGGGTAAGGACCACTCGGCTCTACGGACTCGTCCGAAGGTGGAGCTGAGAGCGAGTGACCTGTAGCCAGAGGAGTGGCCTGTGGCGAGGACCAGGTGAAGCCGAAGCGCTGAAGGACCTGCTGCACCATGTGTGACTGAGTCAGTGTGATGGTGCGGCGTGCTCTGTCTCGGGTGATCTGCAAGCCAAGGTAGCTGCGCAGCTCACCCAGGTCAGTACACGTGTGTCTCTTCTGCAGCTCCGACTTCACCAAGGCGAGAGCCTCAGTGTCAGCAGTGGCAAAGACCAAGTCGTCGATGTACACGAGGATGTAGAACGGCGGCAGAGAAGTGTCGGTGCGTAGAAACAGCGACGGGTCTGCAGTCGAAGGTGCAAACCCAAGAGCCGCAAGTGTAGTCCTCAGTGTGTCGTGCCACTCACGTGGTGCCTGGCGGAGACCGTAGACTGGCCGGCGGAGGCTCCACTGGGTACCAGGAGGGAACGACCCAGTGAAGCCAGGTGGACGGCGTAGCCAGATCTCCTCGTGCAGGCTGCCCTGTAGGAAGGCTGTGCTAAAGTCCAGCGAGTGAAGCTCGTAGTCACGCTGAGCGGTAACGTGCGGTAGCACCCGAAGAGTGGTCATCTTCGGGGTGGGGGAGAAGGTCTGAAAGAAGTCAACTCCCTCTCGCTGACTGAAGCCTCTAGCAACGTAACGAGCCTTGAAGACAGGCGGAGAACCTGGCGGCCGCTTCACCCTGAAAATCCACATGCCATCGACAATGTTCGCCCCGGGGGGGGGAACCTCATCGACGTACGTGCCTGTGGACTTCCAGGATGCCATCTCTGCGTCCATGGCTGCCTGCCACTGAGAGGAGTAGTCACCCGCGATCGCCTCAGCGTAAGAGCGCGGGGTAGGGATGTCTATAGCATCCGGGTCTCCCTCAGGGGCAAGCAGCATGGCCACAAGATGAGGCGCAGCGGCTGCAAGACACTCAAGGTCCTCGTGCCTGTCCTCAAGGACGTCCGTGCTAAGAGCACACTCACCCCCGACGGACTGAGGACAGACAGACTCAGACTCAGCAACCAGACTAGCAGCGTAGTCCAGACGACAGGCAGCAGCAAAGTCAACAAGTTCAGCGACCAAGGAAGACGCAGCAGCAGACTCAAAAGAAGGGTCAGTGACAACAGTGGCGAGCAGACGCGTGACAGTAGGGTGCGCAGCACGAACGCGGTCAGACTCAGGGTCGGGAACGTCAGGTAAAGAGGACGCAGGAGGAGACGGCAGAGGAACGGACTGTGGAATAGAGGAAGGACGACGGACGACAAGGTGCGTGGTGGGGACAGTCGGCGAACGCGGACGCGGAACACGACGAGCGGTACGACGAGAACTAACAGGCGAGACAGGACGCGACGCAGGCTCACGACGCTCAGTAAGACCGCCGGACTGCTCAGTGTAGGGAGAAGGAGCAGGCAGCGGTGAGCCAGGCTGTAACGGAAGACCAGTAGAAGACGGAAAGCTAAGAACCTGGCGAAGCACAGAGTCAATCGGTGGTAGCGACGACGGGGACGGCGGAGCGAAGAACAGTCGCGGCTGCGCAGTGCCACCAGCACCAGCAGCTCCAGTACCCCCAGCAGCTCCAGAACCTCCAGCAACTCCACCACCCCCAGTGTCAGCTCCACCAGGACTAGCTCCACCAGCAGTAACACCCCCAGAACCGGCACCTCCAGTCCCAGGGTCTCCAGACGCAGTGTCACCAGCAGTAGCACCCTCAGGTACAGCACCACTAGCCCCGGCAGCTCGAGTACCAACGGTACGAGCACATCCGGGACCCGCGACGGCAGTACCTCCAGTAGACAAAGAACCAACACCACCAGCTGCAGAGTCCCGTGTACCAGTAGTGCGACGCTGACGACGACCGTACCAGTCCTGCAGCTGCTGAGGGGTGAGGGGCACACGTGGACGAAGACGGCCACCCCAAGGAGGCGGCGCAGCAGCAGACTCAACACCCCCAGACGGCGCACCCCCAGACTCAGCACCCCCAGACCCCTCACACGCAGGCTCAGCACCTCCAGGCTCCGCACCTCCAGGCTCCACACCTCCAGGCTCCGCACCACCAGACTCCACTCCTCCAGGCTCCGCTCCTCCAGGCTCCACACCTCTAGGCTCCGCTCCGCCAGCCTCCACTCCCTGAGGCTCCACACTCGCAGGCTCTGCTCCTCCAGACCCAGCACCCCCAGGCTCCTCACGCGCAGGCTCAGCACCCCCGACGACAGCACCACCTCCAGCAGGACCAGAGTCACCAGTGACCTCAACAGGCGCAGGTACGGGAGGGTCTACCTGAGAAACACCTGAAGGGGCAGGACCTGGCGTAGGAAGGGGGCCTACCTGGGGAGGACCTGGGGCGAGGAAAAGCGGCGGGGGGGTGCGAGGGGAAGTACGGTAGGGGAAGAGACGGTAGAAGGGAACGGACTCGTCAAAGGTGACGTCCTGAGACGCAAAGACACGGCGCGAGGTGGGCTCGTAGAACTGCCAGCCAGGCGCGTCAGAAGGAAAACCAAGGAAGACACAGGGAATGGCGCGAGCGGAGAGCTTGTCCGCGGTGGTATCGCGGACAAACGCACGGGCACCCCAGACCCGGAAACGCGACGCATTACCAATTTTCCCCGTCCACAGCAGTGTGGGCGAGGTCTCCGGCAAGGAGACACGAGGCCAGAGGTTGAGCTGATGCGCGGCGTACCGGACCGCAAACGGCCACAGAAAATGGGGGGCAGCCGCATGGATCATGGAGGTACGAGCGACCTCCATGACTAAGCCAATGCGACGCTCAGCAACCCCATTCTGCTGTGGAGAGGCCGGAAGCGTGAACGACTGGGTGATGTCGTGCTCCGCACAGAAGGCTGCCAAGAGGTCGGAGGAGAACTCACCACCTCTGTCAGAGTGCAGACGCAGGACAGGGAAGTCTCTGTCGAACCGCTCGCGGAGCTGGAGATGAACAGCGCGGATCCAAGGGATCAGAACAGCAGGGACCTGACCCTTGCTGCGCAAGGGGAAGACCGTGGTGTAACGCGTGTAGTCGTCAACGACCAGCAGGAAGTACCGCTCGCGGCCCTGGCCCTGGACGCGGGCTGGGCCCCACACGTCCAGGTGGAGTGTCTGCAGGGGAGCCTCTGTGGGAGGAAACGAGGAGTGAGGAGCGGCGCGCTGCCGCCCCTCGACGCAGGGAATGCAAGGCGGCGCAGGCGAGGGAGGGAGGGCAGGCAGAGACCTGGGAAGACCAGAGACCAGGGAGCGAGAGTGCATGCTCCGAAGGCGAGGCAGGGAGGGGTGACCAAGGCGGTGGTGCCACAGGAGAGTGTCGTGCGACAGACGGCGACACTCACACGTGGAGGCTACCAAACCTGACGCAGACACCTGACTAACAGCAGCTACCTGAGGAGACTCAGTCGACAGTGTGTACAGACTCGACCCCGGCCGACGAGTGAACGTGGCCAAGTGACGGCCAGTCTGTCCACATGTGCAGATCGCCACACGCTGCCATGCAGGGGTGAAGGTATCAACCCCCGCATCCTGCAGGACAGCGGTGCTCACCAAGTTCGTCGAGAACGAGGGGAGGTGGAGACCTGACAGGGAGCCAGACGGGACCGCGGGGCACGGAACCCATTAGGGGGCATAATCTGGAACGGGG